ATGAGTTTATTTTAAAAAGCCAGTATATCAGAAGATGCAGTGTGAAAAGCTGTACATGTTACCTTAAAATCCTTATGCACTCTTTCTTTCAAAGTGAGAAACGTTTTGTTCGACCAATTTTAGATGCTGCAAAAAGATCATTTATTGGTCTCACGAAACGTTGCTTATTTAAAATAACAAAATGTACATATACATAAAATGAATTGTTGTTTATAAATTGTAGAGCTTTTCACGCTGCATCTTCTGGTATATTTTCTTTTCTTTTAATAAAATATATTAGGTAATAAAAAGATGAAATAACAAAACAACGAATTCGCCGTGTATCAAAACATGATCTTGCTTGCAGTGTTGAAAATTAGTCGCATAGAATTCCGTTTATTTTGGTAACAAAGAGTTTATATATTAAATAAAATTTTTAATGCAAGATATAGAGCTTTTCACGCTGTATCTTCTCATATACTATCCTTTTAAAATAAGCTTACTAGATGATGAACAAAAAACGATACAAACCTCAACCATGCATTGTGAAATACTCGTCAGCCGTGAAAGTAGGGTAGTTTTTATATGTTCCATCATCATGGTTTAACTTTTTTCATTAACCATCCTTCAGTAATACGCTTGAGTACTGTTTTGTAGAGAATTGCACGGTGCATCTTTTGGAAAAACAATCAGCTCTATATGACACAAAGGAAAAAAGCTATAGCCAAAACATTGAGAGGGCCATTTATTCTGCCGCACCCGTTACTATTCTCATATCAATATAAATCACATTCTGTTGCTGAAAATCTAGGTATACTGGACGACGGGTTTAATTATTTTACTTCAGTTTTCCTCATCTTAAATACACAGAATAAAAAATTTCATCGTTGACGTAATAAAAAAAAAACTTGAAATAACAAACTATATATCCGTGCATCCTTAAAATAAAACAGAAGAAAGAATATTCTTAGAAAAAATAAAAAAACATTAGTTCATAGTGAAATTGATCAAAAAAAGGTGATTTTGTACAGTTTCTCGTTCACTAATATTAACTCCGTATGGAAACAGATTTTTCTATCAAAATCAAAGTGTTACTTTTCTAGACAAAGTGTATTGCGTATATGCTGTTTTGCTCAACAGTGTGTACATTGAACTTAGCAAGTGTTTCGTACATTTTTATTCTGCTTGTTAAACTTGTTGTCAGTGTTTCTAATAGAAATCTGAAATAAAAAGTCAAATGACATTTTATATTCGTAACCAAATTGCAAAAAGATACTTTGTTTATTTAAACAAAGTATTACAAAGTTCACAAGGTGTAGATTGTTAGAATTCAAGTAAAGAAAAATCAATATTTCAAAATATTTTATATGAATATATTACGGATATCCTACTGGCAGAGGGATTCATATTTCACTCTCACGAAATTCGCGTTTTTGCCAAGCGAACTTTTGAGCGTTTTATTCAGACTTTTGTTTACTAATTTTGAAAATGCCACTGTAATCTACGAAATCCTGTCGAACGCTAAAAGTATTCCAATCGATGTTTTGAGTCATGTATCTTGCTCTCTCATATCCTTCTCCTATATATTGAGATACCGAGACTAAGAGCGGCACTTTAACTTTGAAAACATTTAAGTGAAAGTAGACTTCTCCACAAAAATTTTCTTTTTCAAAAAGAAGATATCTGTTTCATTAAAAAAGTTTTTTTAAAGATTATTTTTCACCAAAAATGTCAAGTAGATTTCATCTTTTATGAAAAAAAATATTTTATTTACAAACTCTTGAGAAAAAAGACTGATTTTAACTTTAAATTTAAGTTAAAATGCCATCCCTAATCGAGACACTTTTGTTCTGTGCTTATATAAGATGAAATAGAAAATATACAACTTTTAGAGTTGAATGATGAGCAATTCGTTCATCTTATATTTCATAGATGAGGTAAACGAAAACAAAAATAAAAATGGATACTACCTAGTAGGGATGTACCGAGACTGAAAATGAAAGTTTTGAACTTTTCTGTAAAACAGTGTTGAATCATAAAAACAAAGGACTTGCAAAGTTCTTGAAGTAGTTGATGTTGTAGAGCAAACATTTTTCGACAAAATGAAATGTTGGCAAACTTTGTGCAACGTGTTTTTCAATTTTTATTACAGTTTTATTAGAGGCACTAACAGGACCAAGACTGAGACTCTCGGTCTCGGTCCTGTTAGTGCCTCTAGTAAAACTGTAATAGCAATTGAACCATACATCGTACAAAAAATGTTTGGTCTATAAACATGCATCCTGAATGAAATCGTACCGTACTACACATCATCAGAGCATATTCAAGAAAAAAACTGGAACAAAACCGAGGAATACTCGGTACATCCCTACTACCTATTTTACTTTAAACATGGAATATATATATATATATATATATATATATTCTGTACGCATAGCATTGAGTATGGATGAGGGAGCTGTGTCTAAAAGAAACGTGTACCCAGTACTAAAATGAATATATATATATATATATATTAGTTACATTACTGTGAACTATACTTGTCTCTATCAATGGTGATGAAAAACGTATTCCCATAGGTTGCTTAAAAGGTTTTGTCGAATATGAACAAGTAGAAAAAAATTGAAGTACAGAAAAACGTTTCAATAAATCCAAATATTAACTAGGAAATTACAGGGTTCTTCTCCAGATCAACGGCGCCTCTGTTTTATTGGTCGTGTTAAGAAGAGGAAAGAAAAAAAACATTATTGGTTACCTTTGTTCACTCAATAGAAAATAGAGGATAAGAAAAGAAAAGATGGAGCACGCTTAAAAATTTTTCAAGTAATTGATGAAATGTTAATTATTCCAAAAAGAGAAAATCAAATTAAAGATTTTATAGGCTTAAGACTGCTTGAATAGTTTCATTTTCTCTATTCCAACCTGTCCTTTTCGTTCTAGATATTAATCATTTCTTTTTTGTCTTTCCTTTTTTTTGCTTTCAAATAAATATATTATAATACTTATCTGAATTAATTTCTTTTCATTTGACCACTATTGTGTCTGTTAGTGCATAACAATACGCCATCTATTCTCTTCTTATCCTCTATTTTTCTATTGAGTGAACGAAAGTAACCAATAATGTTTTCTTTTTCTTTCCTCTTCTTATTCTTAACACGACCAATAAAACAGGGGTGTCGTTGATCTCGAGAAGAACCAATTTCAGAATATCGAATATATCAACATTAATCAAAAAATTTAGAAGTTGAAAGGCAAAGTATAAATTATTCTCAGCAAGTGTCGGCTTGACACTTTGTTTCCATGAGTAAACTGTAAAATCGAGTGTCACTCGAATATCGCAAAGATCTTGATCTTGGATACTTTGTAACAAAGCCTGACGCTTGCTGTTTGGAACGTTGCTGATTTTGACCAACAGGAAATGTGCGAATTGGTCGATCAAAATCATGAAGGACAGATCGAAATGGCAGATGTCGTTCTCATCAATACGCTACTTTGGTTGCATTTTCATAGCAGCTCTAAGTAACGCTCATCTCCACAAAGTTTAGAGTATTATTTCAAACAAATAAGTAGGAGATAAAGTCCTATTATTAATATCATTAGGAAAGTTTTTTTCATATATAAAAAAAAAGTATTCAAAAAAGGATACTTTTTTGTTAAGATATTTGAAATCGTAAAAATTTTTTAAACAACATAACTAATACAAATTCAACTATAAAAAACAACAATTTGATATTGTTAAAGTATATGAATTTAGGCTGATGATGAACAAAGAAGTTTGTTCGAAATATTCCAACAAATGAAGAAAGATGAAAATAAGAAAAAACAACTAATTGAAAAAGTTTTGATATACTTTAACAATATCAAATTGTTGTTCTTATAGTTGAATTTGCATTAGTTATGTTGTTTAAAAATTTTACATTTTATTTTATTTTGTAATGAGGCAGGTAGTAATTATAGGTCAGAAATATGGAACAACCAAAAAAAGTTCTCTTGATTTGCTATTGAATAAGAGAAGTCCAAAGTACTTCAACTGAGAGAGTATGTTACAAGAAACTTTGACTCCATAGAATGAAAAAGTATCGACTCGAATATTATCATATTAGATGTAGATGACAGTTATAACGGTTCTTGTCTATGATTATCTGACACTCGACTATTGTTTTCTAATAGTATTTTTCAATTATTATTTGAATATATATTTTTGTATGTTAGCTTCTATTGAAGGTTACAGAAATAGAAAGCATCAACGAACTTTCAAATAACTCCACAACCACAATAAGTGGCATTTGATCCCAATGTATAATAATATATGGCATAGTGGGTGGAATAGAAATGATTGAAATCAACGCTACTTTGATTATTGACAAACTATGTAGTAAACGATAATAAAGAATGATTACTAAATTTACAAAAACTAATCAATTTCACGATAAATAAAATACTGCTCTCTTTGATCAAATAGTCAACTATGAATTTCATTAATAAACGACTGCAAATTTCACTCATTTTGAAAGTCTAACATTAGGTCAGCTGAATGAGAAATTGATAAAATCTTGGCTTTCTACTTAGTGCATTACACGCTTGTATTAAGTATTCATCTGTTTTTTAGAACTCATAATGCTGAACCTTTTAGGCTTATCTAAATTGTTTTCTATAAAATACTACACTTTGTGCATTTCTTTAATAAAAATTTCATATAAAAGTAACTCATTTATTCTATCACTTAAAGGTTTCTTAATTGTTTTCACCAACCGGAGAAAATGTGCTTTGCATGAGCTCCTTGTTCGTTGACTCTGTGAAAGTATGAATGCACCAGTCTATGGTGCACTTTCTTATCTTATTCTGAACTTTTTCAAATTCTTTTCTGATATAGTTCAAAATATATTGACTAATTACTAGTTGATTAATCAAATATGACTCATACTCAATCGAAAGAACTGACATTTTAGATTTTTAGATATAGTAAGAGAATACTGAAGATGATCTCCATACAACGAACAGAAAAGCACGAATAAATCCACTTATGCTTGAGATTTCTGGCAATTTGTATCTTAAAAAAAAAATATTAAATTTGAACTACATTAAACATCATTTTCTATCTCAATCGAAACCATTGACATTCATAGAAACCGTCTAGTATAGATTGAAAAGTGATTTCAGTATAAAGAACTTTTTCTTCATTCGAAAACGTCTAATTATGCGTCTCAAAACATCCAGACTACATTAAATGAAAATCACAAGTATAAATTCGCTATATCAAACACAGATAATAATTATTCAGTACGTTTGTCGAGTCATTCAAATTTTTTATTTTCCTTTTATCATCACAGACCTGCGTAGTATGTTTTTGGTTATGAGGGCGTCGTTTCTTTCTTGTTCTTTTCCTTCGACCACACAACACGCCTTTCTTGTCTACATTTTTTTATCTTGTTTTATATTGCCGCTATGTCATCAACAGAACAAAAGCGCATGATTCTTGTCACTGGTGCTAATAGAGGCATTGGCTTTCTCATAGTCAAGAAACTTGCGAAAGACTCACCCTCTAATAGTACTATTATTTGATTTGGTAGTCGTGATTTGAAACGACGTCAGGATGCACTCATACAGTTAGGATCTCCATCAAATGTGCACGTTCTACAATTGGATACATCTAGTCGCGAAAGTATTATTCGAGCTAAAGATGAGATCAAACAAAAATACGGTGGTCAACTAGACGTCGTTATTAACAATGCTGCTGTCACAATGAAAGATTTAAATGTCAATGCAGCCCGAGAAATACTTGGAACCAACTATTATGGTGTTAAAATACTTAACGAATATTTATTTCCTTTAATGCGAGAGGGTGGTCGAATAATCAATGTGTCGAGTAGAATCGGTCCCATTGTGCTGTACAAAGCCTCTCAAGCGCTTCAAGAAAGATATACATCATCGACATTGACAAAATATCAAATTGACCAGCTAGTCGAAGAGTTCATCTCAGCCATCGAGACAAACTCCCTTGAAAATATTGGATACAATGCGGAACCATCCTTTCTTATGTATGGTGTTAGTAAGGCAGC